GAATAAGGGATAGAATATAAGAGGAGAGAATTAGAATAGAATAATGGATAGGATAGGAGAGGAGAGGAGAGGAAAGAGAATAGAATAGAATAGAATAGAATAGAATAGAATAGAATAGAATAGAATAGAATAGAATAGAATAGAATAGAATAGAATAGAATAGAATAACAGACTTGGAAGGGACCTTGGAGGTCTTCTAGTCCAACCCCCTGCTTAGGCAGGAAACCCTAATCCACTTCAGACAAATGGGTATCCAATCTCTTCTTAAAAACTTCCAGTTTTTAGAGTATTTACAACTTCTGGAGGCCGGTTGTTCCACTGGTTAATTGTTCTCGCTGTCAGAAAAGTTCTCCTTAGTTCTAAGTTGCTTCTCTCCTTGATCAGTTTCCACCCATGGCTTCTTGTCCTGCCCTCAGGTGCTTTGGAGAATAGCTTGACTATTCTTCCAGTATCTACTGGAACAAACACCGTTTGTTGATCTTGGAGACATGAAGGGACATGAAGGCCCACAGGAGATAGTCTGTTCAAGGAGCATTCATGACATCACTTTAGTTGCGGCTGCTGTAACCATGTTTCTCAATGAAGCCACCATGGCTGGATTCCTGCACCACCCTGAACCCGTAAAGAGGCGGTTGTATCACCTTACGGCTTAGTCAGACAGGCACCGTCAGTTGACTTCCCCACCTGCCTACAAAGGTATGAGACGCAGACCATCATTCATCAAATATTCAATCTCACCCGGCGTCTCTGACTGAGACTTCGAGAGAAACGATAAGAGAAATGACGACAACTCTACAGGTTCTCTAGGATGCTGGTAGGATGGAGGCAAAAAATTTCCTTTCCTACCGAAAGATACTTTAAATATCAAATTTGGGGTTGTAAGATGCCGTTCGAACATGAAGGAACCCTATTATTCACTCGACAGAAATCAACCAGAGGCCCGAAGGTGGCACGTACGCAGGGGTGGGCTGCTGGGGGTTCGCAGGGGTTCGGTAGAACCTCTAGCTAAGATTCTGTGCAGTTTGGAGAACCCCCAAAACCTGCTCCTGGCTGGCCCCTCCCACAGCATCCCTCCCATCCCAAGGGTCCCCACGCAGCCCGTTTTGGATGCAGGTAAGTGCAGGGCAGTGGTGGGTTGCTCCCGGTTCGCAAGAACCGGTAGTAAAAAATTTTAGTAGTTCGGAGAACCGGTAATAACATTGGCTGGCCACGCCCCCGAACCGGTCCCCGGCCCGATCGCCGCTCACTTACCCCGCCCACCTCATCAGAGGCTTTTTTTTTTTACTTTTAAAAGCATTTTTTCTACAACCTCTTCAGTTGAAAAATTGCTTTTAAAAGTTTTTTAAAAAGCCTCTGTTGATCGCGTGGCTCAGCTGGGATCTCAGAGGCTTTTAAAAGCATTTTTTCTACAACCTCTTCGGCCGAAGAGGCTGTAGGGGGAAAAAATGCCTTTAAAAGCCTCTGGCGATCCCAGCTGACTTGCCTGATCGTCAGAAGCTTCTAAAAGCATTTTTTTTCTGCAACCTCTTCAGCCGAAGAGATTGTAGGAAAAAAAAATGCTTTTAAAAGTAAAAAAAAAAAAAGTTGGCCACGCCCACTCAGTCACATTACCCCCCACAAGCCATGCCCACAAAATAAGCCACACCCACAGAACCAGTAGTAAAAAAATTTAGAACCCACCCCTGGTGCAGGGTACACTGGGACGCTCGGGGAGGGCGAAAAACAGGCTTACCGGAAGTTCAGGAAGAGGGCCTCCGGAAAAGCCTCCAGAACCCAGGGAGGGCAAAAATGTTCCCCCACCATGGTGCAGGATGCTGACTAAGCCACACCCACCATGGTCACGCCTACCCAGCAACCAGGCAGAGAACCCCTTGCTAAAATGTTTGAAGCCCACAGCTGCACGTATGTCATAAAGCTACCTGCCATTCACAAACTTTTTATGCTTATTTATAAGCTTGGTCAGCCTTGGAGATAGGACAGCGATGGGCTTGTTCACAACAGCTCCTTCCATAATTGAATAATTGAACAAAAACAACAACAACAACAAATAGAGTGACCTGGGAACGTATCCCATTAAGTGCCATTAAAAGTTGCCTTTCTAAATTGCACTACCAGCACCGGAAGTGTTTTAATCTGAGCCTTCAAGAACAGAAGAGCAAGAGTCGGAAGGGAGCTTGGAGGTCTTCTAATCCAACCCCCTGCTTAGGCAGAAAACTCTATACCAGTGATGGCTAACCTTTTTGCCATCGCGTGCCAGGAAGGGGGTGGGATGGGGGAGGTTCGCGCACGAGCGTGCCCACACCCATAATTCTATGTGCCCTGCCCCGCACATGCGCGCGTGACCTCCCTCCCCCCGCTCCTGGCACGCGATGTCCCGGTAGGCCCGTTTTTCTGCCTCACCTGGCTCCAGATCCTCTCTATGCATCTGGGGAGGGCGAAAACAGCCTTCCCCACCCCACCCTCAGGCCCTCTGGAGGCAGGAAACAGCCTCTTCCCCTACTTCTGGTGGGCCCAGAAGGCCCAAAAATTAGCTGGCCGGTGCCCTAGCTGAGCTGGCGTGCCAGGCAACATGGCTGCGCGTGCCACCTGCGCCATAGGTTCGCCATCATGGCTCTATACCATTTCAGACAAAAGGTTGTCCAGTGTCTTCTTAAAAACCTCCAGTGATGAAGCACCCACAACTTCTGGAGGCAACTTCCATTCCACTGATTAATTGTTCTAACTGCCAGGAAATTTCTCCTTAGTTCCAGGTTGCTTCTCTCCTTAATTAGTTCCCATCCATCTCTGTCCTGCCTTCAAAGGTGCTCTGGAGAATAAGTTGACTCCCTCTTCTTTGCGGCAGCCCCTCCAATATCCGAAACGCTGTTTTGCTATGCAAATGGAAACTTTTATATGAAAATTTGTCTGCCTGCCAGCTTCCTTTAACAACCACAAAAAAAAAAACATCTCTAGAGGAACTGACTAAAAACATTTCTGTTTCTTTTTAATGCAACCAATAGCTACACAAAGACCCCAGATAATTAGCAAGAGTTTGTTGAGTAAACAGATGAATCTCTGGAGAGGCCCTTATTTTAAAAACGCAGATTCCTCCAAAGGATGATTCCATCACTTTGGCTGCTGTTGGCCTCCCTAACTGGAAGCCCAAAATGTTCTTTGTTTGTTTATTCATGTTTACAATTTTTTATTTTATTCAAAGGATTTTTTTTAAAAAATTTGATTTATATGCCACCCTTCTCCGGAGACTCAGGGCGCCTTACAATGCGTTAAGCAATAGCCTTCATACTTTTGTATATTTATACAAAGTCAGCTTATTGCCCCCACAAACTGGGTCCTCAAATACAAAATCACACACACACCCCAAAAAAATGAAACAGGCAAAACAAACCTAGACGAAAACATTAAAAAACGTGGATGAAAGAAAGACGAAAATGCATTAAACAGAGACCAAAAAAAAACTAGACAAAATCAGTCCCTTTTATCAGTGCCGTTATAACTTCAAATGGTCACTAAACGAACTGTTGTAAGTCGAGAACTACCTGTATTGGCAACCCAATTGATCTATCATACATGATAGATAGATAGATAGATAGATAGATAGATAGATAGATAGATAGATACGGAGAGAGAGAGAGAGATTAGAGAGAGAGAGAGAGAGAGAGATTAGAGAGAGAGAGAGAGATTAGATGATAGATAGATAGATAGATAGATAGATAGATAGATAGATAGATTTACTTATTGATTAGCCCTTGGGCCATATCAAAGTGCAGAGTTCCAGACACAAATTATTACTAAAATCTGATAAAAACTATTTAAAATGAAATTGGAATAAAATACGATTTAAAATGCAATTGGAATAAAATAAAATAATTTAATGTATAGATAAATAAAATATGATAAAATGCTATGGCTATCTATCTATCATGATCGATTATCATCTATCTATTATCTACTATCTGTCTAAGTCTATCTATCTATCTATCTATCTATCTATCTATCTATTTATCTATCTATCTATCTGTCTGTCTGTCTGTCTGTCTGTCTGTCTATCTATCTATCTAAGAAAGAAAAAAAATGATTAACAGGTTAAACGGCAGCCAAGTAAAAGTTCAAAGCACTCTGATACTCAGATAACATTCGGTGACCGCAATTTACTGGTATTAAAGTCTACATGGTTTCTTATTTACCAAAATCACCCCCCAGACCCCCCATTATTACCTCTGATCGGTCCAGGATCAAAGACCCTGATTTGGCTCTTCCCCACCAAACCTTTCCTTAGGTTTTTCTTTAAAAAAAAAAATGAATTGGGAACTTTTATTAATTGGAAACTTTCCCAGCGACGACACCCCTGGGATCACCGTTCACATAAGTGGCTCCGGGAGAAGGGAAGGAAGGGGCATCCAGTTGGCCAAGCCAAAGTTGACTCAGTTCCAAGAAAACCCTCCTAAGCAAGGTGGGGGAAAAGACCCTTCCTTACGTTCTGGTGGTGTCCTCCTTGGCGGTGGGGCTCATGCAAGGAATGGACCACCCCCCCCCCGTCGGCAGCCCCCCCGAGAGGCTCTTTCCCCCCCCCCCCCCACATCTCCCCGTTCCTGGCATTCCGTTCTGAAGGGCGCCCCTCCCCACTTGGCCCGGAGCCCAACGGGGCCTTCTTGCCAAAGGCTGCCGCTGAAACCACCAAAGGAAGCCAAGGTTTGATCTTCAGCACCACTCACACAAAAAAAAAAGCCAAAAAGGATTGAAAGAAGGGGCGAGGGGCGGCTTGAAAAGCCCACCCCGGCTTGAAGAGGAGGAGGGAATCCCGTTGAGGTTGGATCTCCAGGGATTCCCCCCTAGAGAGGAAGCCCACTTTGGGGCAAAGGGATGCTCCCCTCTCCAAATCCAGGATCCCCACCCGATCGCCCCCGGGACCAAGCTCCAGCAGCCGACCACTCCCACTCATCCACCCACCCGGTGGGTCCCTTTCCCGGGGTCCCTTCGCCACCGCCACCACCCCGACTCACCGATCTTGAGTGGCTCCCGCTGCCCGCGGCTGCCTTTCTCCGGATCGCTCATTTCGCTCGCTACCCTGGACCCAGCCACCTTGCCCAGCGCTGCGCCACCCGTCTGGCCTCGCTCGGCGCCTCCTCTTGGGCTTCTCTCACCCGCGGGCTCCGCCTCTGCCCGCCTTCCCTCCCGAGCTGGCCAAGGGAACTACCGCGCCCAGCCTCCGCAGCCCAGCGCCGGGCTCTCCAACCGAGCTGGAAGGCGCTAGGCAGGGGGAGTTGGACGGGAAGGGGGGGGGGGGAAGGCCGGGGGGGGGGGGGGGGGGGGGTGGGGGTGGGCTGATAAGGGCTTATCTGCCTCCAGGCAAGGAAACCTGGCTAGCTGTTACGCTGGGTGGATGGTCGAAATCGTGGTTGAGCCGAATAGAGACGCTTTTCAAAGGGAGATGGGCAGCATATGCGTTTAATAAATAAATATAAGAGAGAGGGAGGGAGGGAGGGAGGGAGGGAGGGAGGGAGGGAGGGAGGGAGAAAATTTAGATGGTAGGTAGGTAGGTAGATACAGATAGATGAGAGAGAGAGAGAGAGAGAGATGATAGATAGATAGATAGATAGATAGATAGATAGATAGATAGATAGATGAATGATAGATAGATGATAGATTTATCTATCGATTGATAGATGAATAGAATAGAGTAGAGTAGAATGGAATGGAATAGAATAGAATAGAATAGAATAGAATAGAATAGAATAGAATAGAATTGAACAGAATAGAATTGAACAGAATAGAATAGGAATTAAGAGTAGAATAGAGTAGAGTAGAGTAGAGTAGAGTAGAGTAGAGTAGAATAGAATAGAATAGAATAGAATAGAATAGAATAGAATAGAATACTTTATTGGCCAAGTGTGATTGGACACAGGGAATTTGTCTTGGGGTATATGCTCTCAGTGTACATAAAAGAAAAGATACGTTCATCAAAAATCATTAAGTACAACACTTAATGATAGACATAGGATACAAATAAGCAATCAGGAAGATAGATAGATAGATAGATAGATAGATAGATAGATAGATAGATGATAGATATGGTAGATAGATACTATAGATAGATACAGTAGATAGATACTGTGGATAGATACAGTAGATAGATAGATAGATAGATAGATAGATAGATAGATAGATAGATAGATAGATAGATGATATAGAAGATAGATAGATAGGTAGACAATAGATAGAGGCAGAGAGAGATATAGACATAGGTGGAGTGGTGATAGACAGATATAGAAAATATGTAGAAGGAAGATGGATGGATGGATGGATGGATGGACTGACTGACCGACAGATGATAGATGAATCTGTTGGCTAAAACTCAGTCACATCTTTTTTCCTCTCTGCCCCAGTGAGAAATGACCTAGTTTTGTTTAGCTATCCCTAGATTTTAGGCATATTTTCTTTCCTCATACTTGCTTTTAAATAAACTCCCTCCCTCCCTCCCTTTGAATGAGGACATCCTGTGCCCCGTTCTGCCCTCCAATGAAGAAACATTTTCCGTTTCTGAACTCTGGCGCAACTCTTGAAATCGGTCCTTTCTTGCTCTGCCTTTTCTTTGTAAGGGAATCTGGTCGACTTCTTCTCCGATACAGGAAGAAGGACTGAAAGCAACTATCGTTGGCCTTAAACCCGGGATGAAACCACGATAGCTGGCTGCCCGCAGAGCCCCAACCCAGCCAAGCCACGGATGGTGAAGTCCCTGAGCCATTGCCAAGTTGCTGAGTTAAGATTTGGGAAAAGAGATAAATAATTGGACAGCCAGCCACGTGTCTGAAATGGTATAATGGCTTGAGCAGCGGGTTGGACTAGAAGACCTCCAAGGCCCCTTCCAACTCTGCTATTCTGTAATTAAATAAAAGTAAAGAAGGAGACATCTATCTGAGGAAGACCATTTAAGGACTGACTAAGGCGCTGAGCTTTGTCGATCAGAAAAGTCGGCAGTTCGGCAGTTCGAATCCCTAGTACAGATCTCCTGGGTGAGCAGGGAGTTGGACTAGATGACCTCCAAGTTCCCTTCCAACTCTGTTGTCTGACCAAACAGAGCCTATCTTGGAGTCTTGAAGGGTTGGCTTTTCTGGCTGGCTGGCTGAACGCTCATTCATTCATTCATTCATTCATTCATTCATCGCCAAATTCAACCAGGTGACTCTTGATCTGCTCCACAGCCTTTCTACAAGGACACCGTTGATTATGAGTGTTCTCATATGTCTTTTTATGAGATGTAAACATGTCTTTTTATGAGATAGAAACAACAACACTAAAACCACTGGCTTGAACTTTTCAGTTCCTACTTCCTGGTCAGAAAAGTTCTCCTTAAACCTGGAAGGGAAGGGAGTGACCTTCTTCGGTGGATGCAGATCCGATGAACCACATCTTGGTGACACACAGCCCGTGGCCTCACCCTTTGGGTTGTCTTTATTGTGCCATAAAAAGCTGGCTGGTGCTTTTATGCTTGGATTACTACATCCTCTTGTCTCTCTCTTTGAAGGATGCGATGGCTCAGTGGCTAAGACGCTGAGCTTGTCAATCAAATGGCCTTTCAAATCCCTAGTGCTGCGTAACGGAGTGAGCTCCCGTGACTGACTGACTGACTGACTGACTGACTGACTGACTGACTGACTGACTGACTGACTGACTGACTGACTTACTTACTTATTTATTTATTTATTTATTTATTTATTTATTTATTTATTTATTTATTTATTTATTTATTTATTTATTGGCTCAATTTATATGCCGCCCTTCTCCGGAGACTCAGGGCAGCTTACAATGCATTTAAGCACTAGCCTTCATACTTTTGTATATACCTGCTTAGTAGGGCTTTCGGGGGCCCCCCTAAGCAGTGTTCTTTTTTATACAAAGTCAGCTTATTGCCCCCACAAACCGGGTCCTCATTTTACCTACCTCGAAAGGAGGGAAGGCTGAGTCAACCTTGAGCCTGGTGAGATTTGAACTTGCAGTAATTGCAGGCAGCTGGGGTTACTTAACAGTGCTTTAGTCTGCTGCGCCACCAAGGCTCTTTGCAGCCTTGTAACTTGCAAGTTGCAAGTCCCAGCTTGCAACTTGTCCCAGCTTCTGCCAACCTAGCAGTTCGAAAGCACGTAAAAAAAAAAAAATGCAGGTAGAAAAATGCAAGTAGAAAAAAAACCACTCTTGTACTGCAGTGAGTCTTGGACCCTTTACGCACAGCAGGAGAGAAAGTTGAACACCTTTCATATGTGCTGTCTCCGACGAATTCTTGGCCTCACCTGGCAGGACAAAGTTCCAAATGGCGCAGTCTTGGAACGTGCTGGAATCTCTAGCATGTATACAGTATTGAAACAGCGACGTCTACGCTGGCTGCGGCATGTCGTGAGAATGGCTGATGGTCGGATTCCGAAAGATCTCCTGTATGGAGAATTAATGCAGGGAAAGCACCTCAGAGGGAGACCATGACTGCAATATAAGAATATCTGCAATAGGGACCTAAAGGCCCTGGGAACGGACATTTAACAACTGGGAAACCTTGACCTCCGATCGTTCAGCTTGGAGGCTAAAGACGCAGCATGGCCTTCTCCAATTTGAAGAGACACTTGAGGCAAAGAGGCAGTCCCGGAACCAGCAAAATCTGGGAGCTGGGCAGGGGACAGAATGTATCTGCCCTCAGTGTGGAAGGGATTGCCACTCTTGAAGTAGAATAGAATAGGATAACAGAGTTGGAAGGGACCTTGGAGGTCTTCTAGTCCAGCCCCCTGCCCAGGCAGGAAACCCTACACCGCTTCAGACAAATGGTTATCCAACATCTTCTTAAAAACTTCCAGTGTTGGAGCATTCACAACTTCTGGAGGCAAGTTGTTCCACTGATTAATTGTTCTAACTGTCAGGAAATTTCTCCTTAGTTCTAGGTTGCTTCTCTCCTTGATTAGTTTCCACCCATTGCTTCTTGTCCTGCCCTCAGGTGCTTTGGAGAATAGCTTGACTCCCTCTTCTTTGGGGCAGCCCCTGAGATATTGGAAGACTGCTATCATGTCTCCCCTAGTCCTTCTTTTCATTAAACTAGACATACCCAGCTCCTGCAACCGTTCTTCATATGTTTTAGCATCTTGGCCTTTTTAGTCACACCAGATGCTGTTTTAGGACCTCTTTCCAGAGCACGATACCATAGTCTTTTGCGACTGAAGGATGCCAATGCAAGAAAAATAGGGACCACCTTTGGTGGGAAGGGAACAGCGTTCCGTGCGCCTTTGGCGTTGAGTCATGCCAGCCACATGACCACGGAGACGTCTTCGGACAGCGCTGGCTCTTCGGCTTTGAAACGGAGACGAGCACCGCCCCCTAGAGTCAGGAACGACTAGCATGTATGTGCGAAGGGAACCTTTACCTTGTCTCTTAATGGCGCTCCATCTTCCTCCCCCGGCTCTAAAATGGAAACAAAAAAAGTCTTAATTGCTCATTAACTAATTGGTTTTTAAAGTTGCATTTCCCCCATCAGAAGGCAGTATCCACCCGGGGGCGCTTCAAGGCATGTAAAATTACATCTTGAAGCTTTTAACACTACCAGTAAAAGAGAAGGTTTGTAACTCAGGGTTGAAACGAGGAGCGCTCTCTGAGCTTGGTAGTTTTCTCGCAGATGTTTTATGACCCAACTAGGTAACATCATCAGTGCTAGAAGGGAGTGGGACTTTCTGTTTATATACAGAAGCTCTGAGCTTGATGGTTTTCTCGCAGACGTTTTATGACCCAACCAGATAACATCATCCATGCTAGAAGGGAGTAAGTTTGCACTTTCCCCCTTATAGCACTGATTATGTTACCTAGTTTGGGTAATGAAACTTCTGCAAAGAAACAACCAAGCTCAGAGCTGTTACAATATTTGGAAAGGCAGCAGTCCAACTGTTCCTCATGGAATCATCCGGAAGGCAAGGAACTCTACTCATCCTTTGTTGTTTATTAATCAGTTTCCTTGTACCGGTCAGTTTCAGTCATTCCAATATCATGATGAAGCAAGACAGGTGGTGGATCAGAAGACAATCCGTTTCAGTTCTCTTCTTTGGAAACTAGGTATTGCTACTAAGTTTTTTTTTGGTGGCTTCTTCTCACAAAAGTCTTGATTCGCA